ATCATGCTGATTTTCGAACTTGACCTGCGTATTATGAATATTCATCAGTTCTGTAAGTTTCAAGTCAAAAGGTAAAATGGTTTTCCACTTATCGTGTAATCGGTGCTGCATATATGCTGAAAAAAGTGAAAAAACAGCATAAATTCCCTAAAAGTGACCCGATCATGCTGATTTTCGAACTTGACCTACGTATTATGAATATTCATCAGTTCTGCAAGTTTCAAGTCAAAAGGTAAAATGGTTTTCCACTTATCGTGTTATCGGTAAAAGTGCACGGCGACGACGGCGACGACGGCGACGACAGACGCAGATGATGGCTATATGTACAGACACATCTGTGTCTGTACATAAAAATGTCGTCAGACGCTTGATTAAGCAACTTAAGGGTCAGGAAACGGGACATCGTTTGACCCTGCATCCGTTTTTGTATTTCCCCACCTAACCACCTCTTTTACATGCTTGAGTGAGTTTAAAACCCATATCCGACATACGTGTCGTAAAGCTACTCTCTATCAAAGGCCAGGTAAATGCAGATTTTATTTCTCTGCAAATGTATAGGCCTAAATTTTTTCTGCACAGTTTAAATAATGAAAGCTTTAAATAAAAATATTTAATTGACAAGAGGAATATATGAAAATACTCGGTAACACTCAACGTGTGGGCTAGGAAGAGGGTAACGTAAAGCAGTGTGAGCACGTTATACTAGGACATGTACAAGGTTCTTGTAGTTGACCTACCCCTGAATGCAGCTTGCCAGGCGCTTGTGTCCCTCCAGTTTTGGTACAAGTTGATGACTTGGTACAACGTCACCGCTGTAAAAACCTGGCTCACCACCAGGAACTTGGTGCCTATAGAGAGCATCCTTGCTGTTTGTAACGCCTGTCTAGTTGATAAACCGCCTCAGTTCTTCGCCGAAAGATAATAAGAATATTCAAGTCAACTTGAGTCCCTGTTCGATGTCTTGCCTGCAACACAGGTTGAGTATAGTGAGTAAATTCACATGTACACGAAGTTTGCTAAATGGCGTTGCATTATTTGTAGGCTTACGTCAGTCTTAATCTAGTGGGTGTATTTTTAACTGCACGTGAAGTTCTATCAGTATGACCTGGATATGTAAACACAGTTAAGTCACCGGAGCTACGATATAAAATCAATATAGCCTACACACAGGTAGTGACGCCAGGTATAAACTAGTGGATGACAGCGGGGTTAAGCTCAAAAGTAGGTCCAAGGTCATATTCAAGGTCACATAAGGATTCCGAATACATGGCTTCCTTATCAAGTCCAGCAGCGACTTTATGAGAGTAGCCTACATCTGCAAGTTTTGGAGATAGGCCTATAAGGACTAGTAAATTGCCAAACTGCATTTCAGGGTAAAATCTGTTAAACTGGTTGCATTAAGCTAGAGTCCCCCGGAGTTGGATAGATCTAAGTAGACTAAATTATAGTTACAATTGCTAAATGTCGTTGTTTTACCCTGTAGGCCTATACCTAGGAATACATGTATATGTGACCCCGGCGATATGCTGATCACTGAAGCCTGGTCATTTAGACAAGCTTCAACGAAGATGGAGGGGAGCCTCACAGATTTTGGCCTTATATAGGGGCCTACATGCTGACGGTAACCTTACCCTTGGTAGGGCCACATAACGCTTCGCCTCAGTTTTGGGCCTTACAAGCTCACGGCACCCTTATTATCGCTGGTAAGGTCTCAAAACAGTAGGCCTATGTTATGTACCGGTACGTCAATCTTGAGGCATACGTAATACCTCTGAAAATCCACGCACTGACAATCTTTGTGGGTCCTCCGCGGCAGCCTGTAGTGGGTAAATCCAATTCAAAGTGCTTTCATGTCTTTTCAGGTTGGACAATGGTCTTGGTCTTTTTATTCCTGCTAACTAGGTCTATACGCACAGTACAACAGCACCCATATTGCCGAACTCTTGTGGAGAGGGAGGCCCGTTTCCAAAGTAAACTTAAAAGGGCGACACATTGGTGAAAAATGGTGTTAGATCCATGTAGCCTACCGCCAATTATTGGATGTTTGAAAAGCATTTGGCCCTGCATTTTTACTTCTGCCGAATTCTGATAACCTTTGCGTAAAGACCCACATGAATTATTATTTTTAAAATTTTATAATAATTGTCTTTATTGCCAATTAAAGAAAAACACATTTTTCTACGAATTGTCTTTTTTATTTATTATATTTTTTTTGCTTAACTAATAATTTAAATTGTATATATTTTAAATCTTAACCATAGCTATTGGAAACATTAATAGCATTTCAGTAAAATTCTATTCAGTGTATTATTTCCATTCAGTTAGACCACACCCACACCCAAATGATATGAATGACATTAATTTCGCCCGTTATAATAAAAAAAAATAAATAAATAAAAGAATTCATCGTCTGTGCCCATTCAAGAAATAAATAAATAAATAAATAAATAAATAAATAAATAATGACAAAAAATTTATTTATAGTCTTAATTCCATATAAAATGTTCAGTAGACTTTACATGGGTAAAATGATCATAACAAGATGAACAAAGTTAATAAATTAAAAGGTGGTTAAAATATTAAGATATTAAGATATTAAAATAAATAGTACAATGTAAAAGATAACAGCCAGTCAAATCAATTATAAAACTTTTTGAAGATATAAGTTTTTAATTCTTTTTTAAAATTGTCATCAGACTCTATCTTTTTTTATGTAAATCGGGATATTTTCCCATTCATTTGGTCCATAGACTTGAAGAGCAAGCTAGGGTTGTTGCACATCTCGGGAGCTGGATATTATAGATTGCTACGGACTGGACGTTATTTACTTTTAGAAAAAATTTCAGGCAGTAAAATTATTCCACCAATATAATTATCATGAAACTGAAAGTTTTCAGAAGAGGTTTATAATTCCAAATAAATATAAACAGAATAAATATATATTTAAATAAAATAAAAGTGGAAGAAATAAGTAGGTTTTAAAATAAATCAATAAATGAATAAACAGATAAATGCACCCTGGATACTTAGCGCTTCCCCCCATAGCGCCTAGTTATATCCTGTCCAAAGACCGTTGAGAACAAAGTATAAACATGTCTTTTACTTTATAATTTCTACTCAAATAAAAAAAATCACCAGCCTTCTTTACTAGATTGTACCGATCACCATTTCCGTTCCTGGTTTTCATTGTCATTATTGAAAAGTTGTCCCCGTCTCCCATTTCATATTTCCGAAGCAAGGGAATTTTTCATTCATGTAACACCCCCCCCCCCCCTTTAGAAGAAAACCCTGGGTCCAACAGTAAATGTGACTACTAACTGTTTTCCTTGTAGAATACAAAGAACACGCGGTAAAAAGGTAGTTAGTGCAAGGGGAAAACATCTGGAAAGAAGTCAGGTTCATCCTTCTCACTCCCATACAGGATATTCCTTACTTTTGGTAAATTTCTCCAGCGCAGAATCTTTTGAATGCCCGGATGGGACTTATTGAATGCAATGGTTATAAACTTTGTAGAAACTCTGTATTCCATACTGTGTTTTCTGTCGGCTTTTCCTGGAATGTCCAAATACAGAGCCTGTCTCTTAAAGGTCCGAAGCAAGTTAATATTTTCCCCGTTGGCGGTTTTAACTTTGTTGTTCTTGTCTATCCATGTCCGAAAATAATCACGCGGTATACGAAAATCTTCAGAATCGGTGTAGGCTCCCTTCAACTTATTGTTCCCATGATATCTTGGATTTATTGCATAAACTGCGTTGCAAAGGACACGATTTGAATTATAAAACATAGCAGATATGTGAATGACAAACCACTGCGAAAACCACCATGATGTGTGATCTAAATCGCCTATGTATGGCAACATGAAGGAAATTGTGTGGCGGTGGAACCCGTTGAAAATAGCATCGAAATTATATTTCACCCCCACTGGGGCTGGAGCATCATGGATATTATGTTGATATCTTGCAAATCCAACTGCTGGTTGGAAATCGAGTAAAAATAGCTCAAATCGATCAAAAGGGTTGTTTGGTAAATCTTCTCTCCACCAGCGTTTCCTATCATTCTCATTTCTCAGCAACAAATCATCGTCCAGAAAGAGGTAGTACAAGTAGCCACCGTCATTCCTCTTAGATGCACGGTCAATTGCTTCCAAGAGCAGCCGGTTACGACCTTCTGTGAGAGTGCTGTTCGGAAAGTAGATGTCGCCTGTTTTGTCTCTGTACGTCAGCCATACTATTTCTCTACTCGGCTTGGCGTTGAGATTGGGAATAGGGTGTCTTGATGCGCCTTGGACGAGATAGACAAATTGCGGTTGTTGTGTCCATACTGGAGAATCATTTTCACCTATGCTGCCTGATATCACAAACCTGTCAATCTCAGAGTCTGGGAAACCAAAGCGTTTCATATATGACACCCACAGGAGTATCACAGAGACAATTGCAAACAAGGATACGTGCATGCATTTCTTCATCATCATCTGACTTCTGATCCTGAAAAATAATAAAGAACAGTAATTTATTTACCTTGATGTTCCTCTGACCACAGAGGACGTTATGCAAATCAGCAGCGCATTTTGAACATAGTTCATTTGAGACAAAGTAGGATGAATATGCTAAAAAAGCAAAAAACACCATATATTTGGGAAAATGGTCCGAACCAGATGATTTTCGCACTCAACCTGTACTTCTTATGCGAGGTCAAGATCCTTGAAATGTGTAAGCAGTATTGCATGTATGCCGAAAAAGTCATAAAACAGCATAAACTTTGAAAAAATAAAAATAATAATAATGCTAGTTTTCGAACTCGACCTGTAATTTATGAATATTCATCAGTTCCGTAAGTTTGAAGACAAAAAATAAAACGGTTTTCCACTTATTGTGTTATCAACTAAAGTTCACGGAGACGGATGGCACTAAATAGATCTGTGTCTGTACATAAAAAAGGGCATCGTTAGAAATTATACGATATGCTTTTGACGATTGTAGTCTTCAAGCTGTGGAGGCGGTTTCTGACTATTCCTTGGACCAGGTCTACTCAACTACCAGACTCGGCACCGAATGATCCGAATTCACCGGTAGATCGGACCCCACTACCCGTTTTCAAGGTGTGCGTCAGTACGCATTTCACAGTATCATACCCCGAACAAATTGAGTGGTGGTGCAATACTTTCCAACAAAGAATCATCATTATCACATCGCATAGTAGGCAAGAGCAGTGTCGCCTGATACTTCGAAGCGCGTACTGATACACACCTTGAAAACGAACGGGTAGTGTGGTCCGATCTACCGGTGAATTCAGTTTATTCGGTGATCTAGACAATCACACCTTATTTACAAAATGGGCGCCAATACCCATTGACAAGTAGCCATTTTCGTGCTATAGACCTTTATGTTGGACCACACCACTATTTCAGTTTATTTGTGCACAACGTGTTAATATGATTCCCTTTAGTATTTGGAGTAGTACTGAGACCGTTTATTATCCAAAATGGACAACTACAGTCACAAAAATAAGGTTTTTCACAATTGTTCTCAAATACCAGTGTAATTGAACTATATCCCAGCAGGCAAACAACATTGATTCTACGTTGATTCAACGTTGATCCACCAAAATTAACGTTGATTCAACAGTGAATCAATGTCGTTTGTCTGCTGGGATTGTGCTTCATTTTTGAAAATTGTGCACTGAACACATTCCTCATATTTTGAGTTGGCTAAGATCTAATCAGTGGAAAAAACAACATATTCTAGCTAATAAAATGTTGCCTAAATCAGCCTTAGGATTATCTGCATGCTCATTCAAAAGACTCCCAATCTCTGTTTTACTGCAATTTTACCTAATCTTGCAGAATTTGAACTTTGCAATGAATCATTTTGCTGCCAGGTGATAAATCTGAAAAAAAAGCTTCCGGTTGTTACTATTTTTAATAAGCTTGCTGAGAAATTTGCATGAACTCATTGCATGGAGAAAAAATTCATTCCTCCAACATGAAGGTACCAGTGTCACGTGGCTATACTCAAAACTGTCAACAGAGGGATACTGCTATGTACTTAGTCTCCTGTAACACAGTGTGAAGACAACACCGTTATTTCACATCTCCAGTATTTATTATTGTTAACCTTAATCAGAAGAATAGCAAAAAAAAAAAAAATAAATAAATAAATAAATAAAATGAAAAATAAATAAAAATAAAACATTGTTCAAAGTCACCAAATTACCCAAGTGAAAAGAGAAGGTAAATCAAATGTTTACACCCGTACAATGTGAAGCATACTGCAGAAATACCAAATTATCGAGGTCATACTACAAAGCCACACCTTAAGACAATAGACTGTTCATGTACTGATGAATCTAACTCGACCTTGTCCAAATACCAGATATGGCATTTAACTACATGTGAGTTCCTTTATCATAAACATGACGACGTTAGTTCAGTAAACTAATTCTGAGTGAAAATTTAATTATCAATTATATTTACCTTCTTTCTCCAACAAAACAAGACACAAGTTTAGAACCATTCCTCCCAACAAGATACTTTACAACCAGCTATCAGATACTACTCTCCGCTTAGTATAGTACATTTATAAATCGAGAGATATTTGCATTCATTTGACATATAAACAGCTACAAAAACTAAATCGCACTATTTCTGCCTTTGAATATAGCAAAATAAAATAATATATAATTTCCTTTGTAGTTTTGCGTGAGACTCTCTTACAGAAAAAGACACTATGCGCATTGATTTACCATAATTTAAGCACTATTTCCACATGAAAAGACGCCCAGAGTTATAGGTAGTGATATGATCGAGGTAACCTTGTGCAACAAATTAACGAGCGCTTGTGTTAAAATTACTCCAAACACTATTTGGCATTTCATATAGCCTGGAGAAATGTGTGAAAATGAATGGGGGTATACACTATGAGGACAAAGGGACCAAGCAACTGTGAATTTAATATTTTTATCTTTTATATATATTCGGCTTGTCTGTAAGCAGGCCTATACAAATGCAGACCTTGCCTACAGGTAGGCAGTGTTTTGCAGCACAATTGTTATGTGGAGGTTGATTTACTGAACCATAAAGAAAGAGTGCCTTTGTTACAAAATTGTAAAGCGATGTTGTATAGACAGACTAATCCTAATCTAACCGTCTGGGATATTTATACAGACATTTTAATTAAAATGTTAAGGAATTTGAAAGATTGCTGCAGTGCAATGTTACTGCTGTATATGTCCTTATTGACTAGGCATAACAAAACCACTAAAATGGATAAGAATTGACAGTAAAGGCTTCTTTTTATTTTATTTTATTTATTTATTTATTTATTATTATTATTATTATTATTATTATTATTATTATTATTTTATTGCCAATATAATTGTATATTCAGTGCATTGAACTACGGTATACATGTATATGGAAAAGGTGGCCATCGCGGTTTTTTTAAAAAGCACAAGGAAACACTCTTGTTATCTGCTAAATATGTATTATAGGGAGAAGTAAGGTTGTATACACTGTTGTACACTTCTTGTCCATTAGAAGTAGGGCTGGGGTGGATCTAGGATTATTGTAAGGGGGTCCGGGAAACGACCGTTTATTAAATTTAATCACAACAGGTAATACCGATGTAAGTAAAATTTGTACCAACATAAGGGTTCAGGCCAATGAGATTACAAGTTCACACTTTGAAAATGCCAGAATGAGAAAAATGAAACTTTCACCCACAATTGCATAAATTCAATAAAAATGATAATCCAACAGAGCTGTTTTTTTTTTTTTTTTTTGTTTAGTTTGAGGTGTTTGTCATCCCTAAGAATCATTTTTGTAAGTTAAAGATTATAAGTAACACAGTTTTCTTTTTTATGTGGTGGCAGTGAACAGTAGGTTTTTTGTCAATTTTTTATGCAATATATTACATTTACTACATAATTACCACTAATTTTTTAATTACTACTATAAAAACATGGATATTAAGAAAATGTAATTACCACTCGGCTTCATGCACGTGGGAGTTCTAAGTCAAAAAGTCAAAATGAAAATTTCACAAAAACTTTGCTTCAATAAAAAAACGTCTGTTTTTTCAACTCGGGCTGTATTTCAGTCCGATGTTTCTTTTCTTTTTAAGTGTGAGAATTATTACTAGTTTTATTACTGGTTTTCCCTCAATGGACAATTTGGAAACACTGTCCAAAATAGGATT